CAAAAATCTAAATACATGGTTAGATTCAGCATATCAAAGAACCCCATATATTCAATTTTTGTTGAAATCAAACAAAGTTTAATTTTGGACCCCGATTTGGACCAACTTGAAAACTGGGCCCATAATCAAAAATCTAAATACATGTTTAGATTCAGCATATCAAAGAACCCTAAGAATTCAATTTTTGTTAAAATCAAACTAAGTTTAATTTTGGACCCTTTGGACCTTAATGTAGACCAATTTGAAAACAGAACCAAAAATTAAGAATCTAAATACACAGTTAGATTCGGCATATCAAAGAACCCCAATAATTCAATTTTTGATGAAATCAAACAAAGTTTAATTTTGGACCCTTTTGACCTCAATGTGGACAAAGTTGATAACGGGGCCCAAAAATCAAAAATCTAAATACATGGTTAGATTCAGCATATCAAAGAACCTCATATATTCAATTTTTGTTGAAATCAAACAAAGTTTAATTTTGGACCCCGATTTGGACCAACTTGAAAACTGGGCCCATAATCAAAAATCTAAATACATGTTTAGATTCAGCATATCAAAGAACCCTAAGAATTCAATTTTTGTTAAAATCAAACTAAGTTTAATTTTGGACCCTTTGGACCTTAATGTAGACCAATTTGAAAACGGAACCAAAATTTAAGAATCTAAATACACAGTTAGATTCGGCATATCAAAGAACCCCAATAATTCAATTTTTGATGAAATCAAACAAAGTTTAATTTTGGACACTTTGGACCTCAATGTGGACCAATTTAAAAACGGGGCCCAAAATCCAAAAACTAAATACACGGTTAGATTCAGCATATTAAAGAACCCCATGAAATCAAGAATAAAACCCCATTGAAATTGGTCAAGAAATAAGCAATTTATAGGAAGTATCTTCTTTTGCACAATCCTGTGCTATTAAATATTTCTTGCTATTGCGCAATACTGTACAATTGACAATTTCTTGCTATTGCGCAATATTGTGCTATTGGATATTTCTTGCTATTGCGCAATACTGTGCAATTGAAGATTTCTTGCTATTGCGCAATACTGTGCAATTGAAGATTTCTTGCTATTGTGCAATACTGTGCAATTGAAAATTTCTTGCTATTGCACAATACTTATTATATAATAATTTACACATCCTGTTTGGTGTGTATCTCCTATCATATCATTATTATTTGATTTTAAATATAAATCAGAAATAACCAACTTAAAATGGAAAATTTTAAAAGAAACAAAAAAGGAAAAAAAGAAAAAAAAGGAAAAAAAAATAAATCCCCCCCCAAAATTTTTTGAACCCCCATTATGATTCATCACCCCCAAACTCAATCCCAGCCTTCCCTTTGTGGTATGGTACCTTGCAGTACAATTTCAGAGAGATCCATACACTTGAACACAAGTTATTGTCTGGAAACTAGAAAAAAATGTGTTTTTTTGCCCCTTTTTGGCCCCAAATTCCTAAACGTTTAGGGCAATTACCCCCAAACTCAAACCCAGCTTTCCCTTTGTGATATGGAACCTTGTAGTACAATTTCAGAAAGATCCATACACTTACACACAAGTTATTGTCATGAAACTAGAAAAATGCTTGTATTTTGCCCCTTTTTTGGCCCCTAATTCCTAAAATTTGGAGGCAATTACCCCCAAAATCAATCCCAGCATTCCTTTAGTGATATGGAACCTTGTGGTACAATGTCAGAGAGATCCATACACTAACACACAAGTTATGTCTGGAAGTTCCAAAAATGCTTATTTTTGGCCCCTTTTTGGCCCCTAATTCCTTTACTGTTATTACCATAACCCCCAAAATCAATCCCAACCTTCCTTTTGTGGTATTGAACCTTGTGGTAAAATTTCATAAAGATCCATTCACTTAAACTAAAGTTAGAGTGCGAAAACCAATGTGTCTTCGGACGACGCCGGACGACGACGACGCCGGGCGACGACGACGGACGACGACGACGCCAACGTCATACCAATATACGACCACAAAAATTTTTTTGCGGTCGTATAAAAACTATAAAAATGAGAATAGCATAGTATGTCATAGCATCTGACATCACAGTAAGACTATGTAATGGTGTCTGTCATGACTATGTCATTGCACCTGCCATGAAAATTGACTTTTGTAATTGTGACTAACATGATAGTAAAACTATATAATGGTTTCTAACATGACAGTAAAATTATGTCATTGTGACTGACATGACAGTAAGACTATGTCATAAAGTCTGTAGTGACTATCAAACTATGTCATTGCACCTGCTATGAAAATTGACCTTTTGTCATTGTGACTGACATGACAGTAAGATTATGTAATGGTGTCTAACATGACATTAAATTATGCCATTGTGTCTGACATGACAGTAAAACTATGTCATAATATCTGACATGACAGTAAGACTATGTCATAGTGTTTGATATGACAATAAAACAAAGTCATTGCACCTGACATGACAGTAAAATTTGTCATGGCTCCTTAACTTGTGCTTACATTATCTGACAGATTTTATTCTGAAAAAGTGTGGTAAATAATGGTACATTACAATTTTCAGTAAATATGCTTGACCCAAAATTAAAATATACCCTCTCTTTACATTGCTTAGATCTCTGCGATTGACAGGAATGACTTTTAGATAACAACATCTTTTGAGAACTTTTGAAATGATTTTTGAAGTATTAGTACATCTAAAACAGAACAAGTTTACTTACATTCTAGTGTAGAAAGAAAATTAAATTGTACATGTTTATACTATCATTCTAAATTGACTTTTGATTACAACACCTGAAGAACATTAATAAGAACATGCACAAATTGAGTTTTTACAGGATAGACAATTATCTTGAAACAAGTAATTGCTTTCAATTGATTTATTGTATTCTAAATTGCAATAGCATATAAAATAAATCAACTTTTTATTCCTCTGTGTATATTTTGCTTTTTTAACTTAAAAATCATTGATATAAAAACATGTATTGATTTATTTTAAAAACATAAAGATGTATTTAATTGTATGAACAGCACTAAAAGTTTAAAAAAAAAACCAAGTTTCATTATCTCAAATCTGAGACACTGTGCATGGATATTACCAAAGTAATGAGATACTATTACTGAGCATGGGATATAAAAACTTGATAGACTTACAAAATAAAAGATCATACTGATAGACTATGGATATTAATGAGATCATTTTATTTTAGGACCAAAAACGTATTAAATCGTGACACTAACAAAACCTTCATAAATATTAATCAGTTGATTTTCAGTTTAGACCTTTTAAAAGTACAATTCTTTATTTTGAAGAGCTATCTTTATCATTATACTTTATTAAAGACAATATAATCTATTTTCATTTTAAAACTCTTTTTTTCTTTTTCTAATGAACCCTAGTTTCCTCTTGGTATTATTAACACGAATTTAGGTGACCAATATTTCTACACATGCACTAAAAGTTAAGGCCAAATTGTTATCATATGGACTGTCTCCCCTGACATCTATGCACAATATTGTGTTTTTCTGTCATATTTAAAGAATAGAATGACAGTTGAATCTGTCTAAAAGAAGTGCAGAAATTTGAAGCCTCCATCTGAATTACTTAGGCATATCAAGACTCATGGTCATAGTGTGGTCAAAAGAAGATCAGCACAAAACTAGCATGTGACTTGACAGATTACAAAATCATTTATAAATCAAGACTCTAAATCAGCAGAGTAAATTAAAAGCAAAGAGAAAAGTTATTTTCATGAAGTTTTCTAGACTAATCTAGGTCATATTTAGGTCTAAAGTATGTCAACAGGAACATAATTATTATGTAGTGTGAAAATGCTTACATTATGAAGTATTCACTAGAAATTTGTTACTTATTTAAAAAATAAAAGAAGAATGTGTCCATGGGACATGGATGCCCCTACCCCCATGCTTGTAATATTGCAAATTCAGCAATTTTTCCATTTATAAAGGGACATAACTCTAGAACAGTGAAAGTGACGCCACCCAAATTTGATTTTGATCAGTGTTTGGTGGTAATATGCATTGGATTTAAGTTTCATAAAATTGGTAGAGGGAAACTAAAGTTAGAGAGCAGATAATTAGTTTCAGGACATATGGACGTACATACGGAGGAACAAGGGTTAACCTTTATACCCCTATTGCCTAGTGGCAGGGGCATAAGAAAAAAGAAAAAAGAAGCCTTTCAATACTACCATTTTGCTGATTTTATCTCAACTTTTTAGTTAAAGCTGCAATGTTGATTAAATGTTCGGAGCCTTGGAGAAATACTTATGGTTGAAACTAGACAACCTCAAAAATGACCATGGTCAGGTTTGGTTTCAATAAGCCTAGTAGTATCAGAGAAGATGGAGGAGCCATGGTCAGGTTTGGTTTCAATAAGCCTAGTGGTTTCAGAGGAGAATGGGGGAAACCATTGTCAGGTTTGGTTTCAACAAGCCTAGTGGTTTCAGAGGAGATGGAGGGAGACCATGGTCAGGTTTGGTTTCAATAAGCCTAGTGGTTTCAGATGGAGGGAGACCCTGGTCAGATTTGGTTTCAATAAGCCTAGTGGTTTCAGAGGAGATGGTGGGACTATAAAAGTCACATGATAGCAATACAGCCAACAAATCACAACAGTTTTATCTAAATTTGAAATCTTGCTTCTATCATGTTTGCAACTTAAAATGTACTTCAGAAAAGCTTTTTAAGATAAAGAGTTTATAGACTGATACAATGTATTTTAAAAAATTTGAAGTAATAAAAAGAATGGTTAATGGGAGCTAATAGCATAACAAGCAGATATGGAACTATTCTCAAACTATTTGTATCAAACAATGGCAACAATTAATTTACATGTTAAATGCATTTATGTAAATTAATTCTTTTGGTGTGTAGCTTATCATTGTATGTTTTCAAATAAAATAACTGGTGCAAACAAGCATTGATTAATATTATTCAAATCATGCAAAAAACCAAAATATAAAATTTACTAAACACATACTTCTCTCCCCTTGGTAGACTGGAGAAGTCAGTAAAGGTTGTTTTTTTCGCTTGGAATTCATTATCATCTTTGAGTGACCTTGATGGTATGGTTTGATAGAGTGGATCCTCCTCGTCTGTAGAGAAAGAAAGTGGTCTAAGTGGTGTAATTATAGTATTTATACTGGTCAAGTTATTACCACATTATCACATAGACAAGTCTTCTTTTACTCAATCAATTATTGTATGTGGTAATGGCCTTACTTAACATGGTGTTCACATCTCAGGATACAATAAATCAATTCACACAATTTAATGCCATATCATCTCATTTCATACATTTAGTAGATTTCTTAATACCTACCATTTTTAAAAAAAATTCCATGAAATATTTGTTAGTATGATTATACTGATATGAATTGATTTGGAAGCATAGTGGATATTAACTACAGTATGGTCCACTGTCATTTTAGTAATAACAGGTATTTCTTTCCTTATAAAAGTACATCAAAATTACTATGTCATAAATAGAATAGCTACTGCTACTATCACTTTTAAATTGTAATTAATTTTGATTTATTTACAAGCACAAATAAAGAAGATACTGATGTATAAATATACAGAGAAACATCCTCCTCGAATACTGTCAAATAATTAATCTTATCAAGTAATTGTTATTCAAGACATATTATTTAGTTATTCAGAGTTTTCATATTCCAATTTTTGGGGCAACCATTTTATAAAATTCGTTTTTACATTATTTTGAACAGTCCTGAACAAATTGTATTTTGAGAAACGTACATAGATTTCACCAAAATGAAACTAGAGAATTCCAATAGCTGATATTGCTCACTAGTTCGAATGCATAATATTGACCCAGTAAAAGAAATGACTAAAAAGATAAGAAAATTGTCTTGGTATTATTTGGTCCATACAGAAACAGCAGTCTCAGTTGAAACTTTTTTTATGTTCTATGTAGCTATCTTAATCCATGAAGCAGTAATACTAGTGACATATTGGACATAATAATTTAGTTCATTCTGAAAGTTGGACACCTTAGAAATAAAATAGACAATTAATTTCTCTATTTTCAGATACACTTACAACAGCTTACTAGATCATCAACTTAGTTATGCTAAAAATAAATTCAGTCAATTACTGTATATGAAAACCCCCCATTAATTTTATCCCTTTTTCTATTTTTAGTAACAATGTCTATATTGGTTCGGTTGAAAGGTGCTTGTTCATCATGATTTTCAATGTAGATCTAGGTATTTTGTTCCGGTCCCTACTGAAATTGAAAAAAAAAAAAAAATCATGAGAGACATTTCAAAATCTGTTATTTTTGTTTTCAATATAGTTTTGTTTTTATGAAAGAAAACATGAGGGAATAACTGAAATGGAAGTAAATAGAAATAAAAGTCTATTATAGGTACAACATCAAGCAAAGTGAACCACATGATACTTAGGAAAATAGCTTAAATCATATATCAGGCTGCTACAATGGATATTGAATTAAAATATATTCATTGCAGTAAGCAAATATAAAACAATGTGCAAACAAAACTGGTAACTTAGATCCTTCAGGCAATTACTTCAACAGAAATTGAAATATATATACTACTCGCATAAAAACCACTAGCAACAAAGCAAAGATAAAAAGAAGAGAATTGTGGATGTCATTTGTCTTTGTAATCTAATGGACAGAACCAAAGGAATTCAATACACTGTTAGTAATATTCCAGTAGTAATGAAATATGCCGTTATTACTAATTACTCAGGTCATTTTAGTACTCAAGACTACATTAATGGAACAAGAACGTTGAATACAAATACTCAGTTCATCTCGGTACTAACAATTTCTAACAAAATCAATGCAGGGTTAAAACGTATCTTCCTCATAACCCATTGCTTGTAAAAATGGCATCTAGCTTGGATAATATTAAATCTATGTTTAAATCATATAAAGATGCCCTCACTAAACCTTCTAAACCTTTGATTTATAAAAGCTTTTGTTAAATGTGGACTGGCAGTTCTCAGGTGAGGATCCAGGATTTTGAATAAGGGTGGGGGGTAGGGGGAGGGATGGGGAAATGGAGTATATAGATCTTCATCAGATGTACTCCATGCAGTATTCATTTTCAACTGTCCTTGAATTGAATCGGCTAGATACCATAGTGTACATGATATATAAATATATCATATCACTACTTTTCCCCCATTATATGATATCACAATTATTCCTGTATAATGTTGACTCCACAAAGGGAAATGGTAGACACCACAAGGCAAAAATGATCTTTGCATTTTTTTTTACATCAACAGTTTTGCATGCATGGAACTTTAAAACAATATTTTTATCTAATTAGAAGCTGTAGTTTCAAATAACTTCAGCTTACGTTTTGCAGACCATACATTAGACTTTGCAAGCTTGATGTTCATAAGCATTGATCAAACAAAATTCTTTAAAAAGTCAATTTCTGGCCATCTTCTAGAGGAAAACTGTGATTTTGTACAAAAATTATATTAAAGAGAAAAAAAAACAGAAACATTAGAACAAATATTTTAACGAACTTTCTTCTACAAATGGTATATACAGCCTTTGTGGTTAAATCAATCATTATAGCCTACACCTTCTCACAAGGGGAACCTAATAGTTAACTATAACCTTTATGAGTCTGTCCTTTTGGTATTAATTTTTGTGTATTCAAATTCTCACACAATATTTCTTGGAATTGAAAGACATTTAGTTGTTACACATCATATCATATTTTGATGAAGATTAAAAACAAACATTGGGAGGTGGAGTTTTCTATAAAAAATCAAAATTTTTTGTATTAAGTTTAATCAATGCCAATTTTCTGTTGATTAGATTACAATAAAATCAAGGTATCATGAATAGAGGAGCATATACTAATTTTATGTTAAATGGAATTTTTTCGTTGGGGTAAGAAAAAAAAAATTTTTCCACAAAAATACCAATTTTTCCTACTGTTTCCATTTACTTGAAATGAAATTTTTCCAGTCATTTAGAAATATATTTTGGGAATAAAATGTTTTTGGTTTTTTTTGGCACAAAATTTCAATTTTAAAATCAAGTTCTGGTTAGCACAATTTCTCCTAAAGTATTCCTTGGAATTTCTTCTGTGGCGAATCAAGCACGAACAAGATATGAAAGTTGTTTAGTAAAACAATAAATTTGAAATTATGGGTTAACATAAAAAATGCAAAAATAGAAAGTCTAGACAAACAATAATACTAAGTAAGCTATTCTACAACTTAAAAGTCACAATTACTACAAGATGGCACTAAAATGGTTCATTTAAGGATGTACTTAGGTGAAATTAAAAAAAATGTAGAATTTAAAAGTGATACTATAAGTCAGAAGAGCATTAGTTAAGGAACAAAATAAGCTAAAAATATTGATAGGCTATGGAGCTCCTTTTCGAGATATTTATTTTTTTTAAAAGGGTGGGATAGGCTGACTCGGACTTTTACCTTATATTTGCATTGGTATTATTTGGGTCTCAAATCGAAAGAAAAGAAATCTAGAATCTGCTTAAATTTTGGTAATCGACCTTTTATGAGCTATTGAAGTCTTATATGAAAAGAAAAATAGGTGTTATGGGGCAAAATACTTTACCCTGTATTGTAGGAAAAAAACCAAGGAGTCCGAACATCTGACAAAAATTCCTAAACCTGACCTAAGTACATCCTTAAATGATAAAATTAGTAGCATCAGCCTGTGATATATAATTCTAGCTTTCATACAACATGTAGAGATTCACCTTCTCCATCATTATCATATTGTCCACTAGCTCTTGTTCCCATATTGACCCTCAAACTCTCCGTATCTTCGTTTTCTAGATAGTTGGGATGTTTTTTGGAATTGTTAATCTCACCTCTTGCTGAACCTCCATCAAAGTTAATATCTGCATAATTCATTTTTTTTTTAGAGTCTGTTCTTCCCCAAGGCTGTTCACATGTTTTGATTTCTCCAGATTTTGGCAAAGAACCTGATGGTACTGGAGGTGGTTCATCCCTAAATATAAAAAAAGACAACATCAGCATCTCAGATAATTTTTTTTTAGATTAAGACATATCTACAGACTCTAGCGGGCATGTATTACTTTCTTGAATCTATGACAAATGTCAAAATGGGCTCCAACTTTATTAAACCAATTCAATGTTTTTTTTATTGCAGCAAAATTTTTAGCCTGACTTCTTTGCAGGACTTTTTAGATTTTTTTTTTATCAGTTTAAAATTCAGTTACAATTAAGAACAACTAAAAGTTTGACTAACTAGTGGAAGTGATCTGTTTTTAAAAGTGTCAATTATAGTTGATAAACAACATATGTGATGATCATAGCACACAGCAGGCTTTTTGGCTAGTTGAGCTTAAGAACAAGTTTCTTTGTTAACTGTACAATGCTTGCAATCAAATGGAAATGTTTGTGTATTGTGTAAAGGGGAATAACTCTAAAAATTATGCAATATTTTTTTCATACAGGTTGACAAGTTACTTTGGATGCAGTCAATTATATTTACTTAAGTTCTCAAGGCATTATTCTATATGCATGTTAGTGATCAATTTCTGCCGTGAAATCAAGCAACATATTTTTCTAATTGAATATGATGATTTGAAGTATATAGATCCATTATAGATCGGCTGGGATTTCACTCTTTGAAAATAACATGAATGTTTTATAGCTACACAGAGTTAGACTAATGTAAGTAAGCAAAACACTTCTTGTAAAATATGAACCATGTTCTCACTTTGTTACACAAACTAGTTATTCAAATCTTTTGAAATGAAAGAATGAATAACACATTTCTTTCACTAACTGGTCCATAGATTTCTCATATCCCCCTCCCCAAAGAGGAGTTACTCACTCTGATTCACTTTCTGTACTTCCCGACTCTGACCCAGATGACGAAGATCCTGTTTCACTAGAGCTTTCATCTCCATTCCGTACATGAGCTTCAATTTCTACAGGCTTAAAATATATAACATAATTTAACAATTAGGGTTACACTCGGTTACCGTATATGTGTTCACAATAATTAATAATATACTCTTCAAAAATAGAATGTTTCATTGACAATTGATTGAAAAATAATCGTTTCAGTTCTGAACAAATAATGTGCATTAAATCACCTTCAACTACAATGGAAAAGTTGATTACATACATCTATTTTGTTTCTAAAAGTATGGTGCAATGATGAGTTGTAGAGGTAATATATAACTCACTGTGGTTATAATAAGTAGAATCAATCAGGTTAAATATATATCGTTTACAAAGTTAAAAGTAAAAACTGTAAATTTAAGAAACCTGTTTTCTTCTGTGTTCTTTGTGTCTTCTATCCATCTTTTCATTTCCTTTGTCTTTATCATCATCTGTGTCTTTATCATCTTCTGATTCAGAACCGTCATCTTCACCTGGAATAACATATACAAAAAAGAATTCAAATCAAAGTCCAAATACTTTTCTTCCTTCCTTGTTTAAGAACACAAGCTCAGTATTGATAGTAATGTCTAGTTATCACTGTAGACAACTACTTAGACTGCTTGGCCACAGAGGCCCCATTAAACAGAGAAATTGGTCTCTCAAAATAAAAACAAAAGACAAAATGTTTGGGCAAAGGGGCACAACCAAGTTTAATAGCTGCAAAAAGGAATTTATTTTTGGATGTATATGAAGTGATAATGTTTAAAAATAGGATCCAAGTATCCAGGAATCCAGTCTTAATATCATAGTATATTATTAAAGTTGATAAATGTAACAATCATTTTGATAGGTTGCAGTGAATCAAATGGTATTCATCAAAATCTGCCATTGTAATCTTTGTGAAAACCAGCCTACCTTTATCAAGTTTTCCCATCTGTTCCAGCACAGCCTTTTTATCTTGATCTTCAGATTCTTCAGAACTGCTTTCTGTTTCTTCCTCTTCCAAACTGTCGTCTGATTCAGATCCATGAACAGATCTGTTTGATGCTGTTTCTCTATCCTTAGACCGCTGAGAATCAGACTGTTTGGATGCAGCAGTTTTTGAAGACTGAAATCTAAAAAAGAATCAACATAAAAATAAGATGTGGTATGATTGCCAATGAGAATACTCTCCACCAGAGACCAAATGAAGTAGAAGTTAAAAACTTTAGGTCACTGTGCAGTCTTCAAAAATGAGCAAAACACATACCACACAGCAAGCTATAAAAGGCCCCAAAATGACCAATGTAAAACAATTCAAACCAGAAAACTAACTGAATTATGTACAAAACAATAAAAAAAAATCATCAAACCACAAACACTGAATTACAGGCCCCTGAATTGGAACAGGCATCTACAGAATGTGGCAAGGTTAAACATGCTAGGAGGCACCAATCCTCCTCTAATCTGGGATAGTGGTGCAACAGCACAACACAAGAATAAATTAAAGTTTCTTCTTCAATAGACCTTATCTCTATTTAGGAATCTGCGACACTTGACCTCAGAATCTGTAACACTTGAACTATTGACATCATACAACAATCCATTTTCCTTTGTGGTGTCAGACATTTACTATTATTATGTCAAAATTTTACGGGAACCTTTGTGATGTTCAGAAATGGCAGACAAATAGTGATAAGGTGGATAAACTAGTGTTACACATATATATATATATATGTCATAGGTGTTCTTTTATGTAAAAGGTTAACTGTTTTTAAAGTGAATTTTATTGAGAAAATATATTATTTTAGAAAATATGAAATTATGAAATAATTGTATGACAAATTTTGATTTAATTACTCAGGTAAATTTTGTGAAACATGTCGCTTGTAAATAATTGCTCTGAGCAACGTTTTGGTATTTTGTCAATTGTCATTAATTAATCTGAGCAATATTAGGTTTTAATTAGTATCATAAATGTAATTAACTTGTATCTCTGTAATTGACATTATTCACATTTCACCTTTGGACATTTTTGAACAATAGTATTAATACTCAAATTATCTCAATTATCAAAATTATCAATGTCTGTCATTTTATGAGTAGTTTTCAGCATTCGCCTTAAATATCGGGGTTGAACAGTTATTCGTCAGTGTAGTCTCATCGGTGTTATCCAGATAGGAGTGCTTCCAAAGCCAACCAGGCTCGGCTACTCTGAGGAAAATCATCAACTCAAAAGACTCAAACTCGATCAACTCAACTCAACCAATCTTTGGACTTCAAGTGAAACATTTAGTGGAAATATTTTAATTGAACTGTAACTTTGGACATTTAGAACTTTCAACTTTAACTGTGATTTTGTATTAGTGACTTTATAATTTAGAACATTTAGATTTTGATTGTTTGTTTATTGTTTTGGAATTATTATCAACATTTAGATCTGTTATTATATAAAACTGTTACAACTTGCTGCTTGCTTTATAGTTTTGCCTGCCATCGCTCAAGTCTTGCGAAAGACTGACCTCCTGTCCCTTGGGTTGTGCATGTTCGATAGTCCCCCTTAAACTCGACGTGCACTGGCTCTTGGTGACAGATTTGGTGGAGGACCCGTTGGCAGAATTTCGATCCATTTAGCTTTGGCATGGCATTATTATTAGCAACAGCTTTCAAAATTACTTTTAAATTATCTACTTACAAAATTTGCGAAGGAATTTCATAACAAAAATTGAACAGAAATAACAACGGAAAATGAGAATCTACTATTGAAGATAAGTAACTTATTGAAATATTATTTATTATTTTATCTTTACAGTTATATTTAAATTTTTCTAGTCTCAGCAAATATTGTACAAGATTGAATCTAAATGGATTAAAAATAAAATTAGTTTTAAATCTGTAAAAGTCATTGGTAGTATTCAAATGATATTTTTCATAGTCTACCCTTTACAGAAGTCTAATTATAATCTTGTTTAGTTTCAGTTTTCAACTTTAAAAGTTGCTATACCAAAGTTGGCAAACTATTCGTAAAGAAAGACAACTGCAGTGTGTGAACAAAATAGATCTACAACAGAGACTAAAGATAAGTAGCTTTTGAAATAATAATATTCATAAGAATTCTCGAAATTAAATTGCTAGTTATTAAAGCAAAAAGTTTCTTTAAAGAAAAGTTGTGAATATATAAATTATTGAGACTGCTAATAAATTTAAAACATTTTGTAGATTTACACACATTTTATGTAGCATATTGCCTTTTTATTCTGTGAATAGATTTTATCTAATATAGTCAAAATTCTTTTAGTAGAAGTCATGGGAAAGAAAAGAATTAAGAATATATGGTGCTGCAAAAGATCAAAATGTGCAAGTCTTTCAACTGTTACAGCAAGAGAAGCAGATATAGAATTTAAATCATCTTTAGAAAGAAACTTTATGTACCTGAACATTGAAAATTCAAATCAAAAGTGCTTGATTGACAGTGGTGCAACAATAAGTTGTATAAGTCAACATCTTTTAAAACAACTAAAACCTCAAGCTGACATACAGAGATCATCAATTTTTAGTGGAGTTGGAGTATGCGGAGAAGTACACCCAGTGCTAGGACAAACTACTTTGGAAATAAGATTTGGCGAACACAAAATTTTACAGAACTTTCACATTTTCGAAACACTTCATTCAAAAATACTTCTTGGATTGGACTTTTTGGTAGCTCATAAGGTTAATATGGATTTTGGAAAAATGATAATATCTGTGCCAAATGTAACAGGAAAAGATAGTGCTACATCTAAAGGAAAGGAGAACATGGTTTCTACAGTTACTGTTCCAACATTCAAAGATGACAACATTCAGATTGCCATGGCAACCACAGTGGACCTAGTAAAAGTACCAGCTCAATCTGAAATCATAATTCCAGTACATGTTGGAAGGTTTAAACATGGAACAACAGTAATTTTAGAACCAAAAGGAAACTTATCCATTGAACATCAAGTAGCTGGGGGAAAGACAATTTCTACAGTGTTAAGAGGCATAGCTTCATACAGACTTATGAATCCTACAAATTCAACCGTTTACATTCCAAGAAGGACTAGAATTGCGAAAGCCGAAACTATACAGTTCAACCGTGTTACAAAGTTCACAGAAGGATCATCTGCTCCTATAAACTTTCTTGGCAAAACAACTAGTAATCAACTTTGTAGTAAATTTTCAGACCTAGGATTTAATTTGGACAATTTGGAACTTACAGCGGAACAAAAACAACAAATTCAAAACTTTCTTATTCAAAATAGGGACATATTTGCAAAAGATTTAAGTGAACTGGGACATACCAACTTGCATTTCCACACAATATATACTGGTGATGCAAAACCAATTAGTGCTGCTCCATATAGACAATCTCCACAAATGCGCAGAGAACTAGATAAACAACTTGATGAAATGGAAAGATATAATATTATTGAGGAGTCTACTTCACCATGGCATAGTCCAGTCGTACTTGTTAAGAAAAGAAATGGAAGTATTCGCATATGTGTAGATTTTAGGGCTTTAAACCGTATAACAGAACCCATGTCAGCAGTAATTCCAACTATGACTGATATATTTGACACTTTGGCAGATTCAAAAGCAGAAATATTCTCATCTCTCGATTTAACATCCGGATTTTGGCAGGTCCCGCTAGACCGAGCAACGAAGCATAAGAGTGCATTCATCACGCATAAAGGTGTATATGAATTTAATAGACTTCCATTCGGTATGATGAACTCTCCATTGACTTTCCAGTGTTTGATGACAAAAGTGCTAAAGGACTTAAATTTCAAAATTGCGTTAGTTTACATAGATGACATTCTAATTTTCTCAAAGAACTTTGAAGACCACCTTAATCACCTTCAACAAGTTTTTTCCAACCTACGTGAAGCAAACCTGAAACTTAATCCTGAAAAATGTAAATTCGCAACAAGAACAATCAAGTATCTAGGACATGTTATATCAAAAGACGGCATCCGTGTCAATCCGGAAAATACAGAAAAAGTTAAGGACTTCGCCAGACCAACCACTGCAAAGCAAGTTAAAAGTTTTTTAGGAATGGCAAACTACTATAGAAAATTTGTAAAGGACTATGCCCACATAGCAGCTCCATTAACAAAGCTTCTAAAGAAAGATCAAAGATTCAGGTGGACTCCAGAATGTGATATTGCGTTTGAAAATTTAAAAGACCGTTTGACATCAGCTCCAATTTTATCGTTTCCTCATTTAGACAAACCATTCATCTTAGCAACAGATTCTTCTGAGTTTTCAAATGGATATATTTTAAGTCAGATTCAAAATGGATTAGAACATGTGATTGCTTATGGCGGTAGACAATTAAGGGGTTCAGAACTTAAGTGGCATATTACTGACAAAGAGGCTCTAGCATTAGTAGAAGGAGTTCAACATTTTAAACATTATTTGGCAAATCAAGAGTTCACAGTGTATACAGACAATATTTCAGTTAAATATCTTCAGAAAATTAAAGATTGTCAGGGAAGACTTGGTAGGTGGAGTTTGCTTTTACAAGCCTATAACTTTAAAATTCAACATCGTGCAGGATCTAAAAACCCAGCAGACTGCTTATCAAGACAAAAACATTTAGAAATTAATAATAGTGCTCCTTATGACTCAAGTGAACTTGCAGACCATTTAGGCTCCATAGATATACAGAAAGAATATACAGAAGTTACATTTATATATAAGGGTGAAAATGAAGATGCTGTTATTTCAAGTTTACAAACCGTTACAATCAATGATATTCAATTAACAAATTTAGCCGAAGAACAAGAGACATGTAAAGACTTTGCTGATATCATTAAATACAAACAGTCAGGAAGAGTACCACAGAATCCAGAACTTGCAAGGGCAGTCGTAGCCGAATCATTCAACTTTGAGTTAGAAGATGGAATATTAAAACACTTCTACTCAAAACGTTGTAAGAAAGTGCCAAAAGATGAACGACTTGTTAAACAGATTGCAGTTCCAAGGAATCTCCGTGATTCAATACTCAAAGCCTATCATGACTGCATTCTGGGAGGAGGACATCAAGGATTTGAACGAACATATGCTGCAATTCGAAACAAATATTTCTGGCCATCGATGTATAGTGACATTAATC